CTTGAAGTGACATGTAATATAATTAATTAACAATAATAATTAATTTAGTTTAGTTAGAACTAGAATGTAATATCAAAAAAGAATAGGGGTAATATAGTCGATATAAAGTTATTCCACAACTCCCTCTTCTAAAGGAGTATATGATTTCAAAGAGTGTAAGATTATCCCTATTTTAGTAAATCAGCAAATAGTATAGATTTGGGGGGTTTTATAAGAAAAAAAAACAGAAGTATGTGTGTTATCGGGCGTGGATCTTAAGCCGTCGAAGACTACGCGTTACCTAGCGTGGATCCCAAGCCATCGAAGTAGGGGGTGCATTCGGTCCGGATACAGCTCAGATATGATGCTTATCATATCCATATCCGTCTATCCATCTTGGATACGGATACAGATACGGATATACCTCGGTAAGGAAAATTTATAATCATATCCGCTAAAATCGGATACGGTACAGATATACATGCAGATATAGAAGCAGATATGCATGCGTATACAAAACTGATATGAGAAAACTAGATAGTATTGAGAAAAACATAGTTCACGTGATACAATAGTTCACGTGATACAAAAGAGTTCGTTAATATGTCCATTATAACTGAAAAGTTAAGATTAGACATTTTGATCATTAAAATTAATGTAGGTGTCAAAAATTTCCTATAGATCATCGTACGTAGCTCATGACAGAGAGAAGGCGATAAACATCATCATCTAAGTCGCAGAGGATCATCCAAAGCTAAAGATCAACTGGAGAATGCACAAGAAGCGCATCACACAAGTTCTGAGGCGCAAAACATATCTCAGAAGCATGAAACAAAATCAACAGTTTCCGAGACACTTACAACTGTTTCGAAAATTTCCGAGACACTTACAATTGTCTCGGAAATTCCGAGGTCTCGGAAATTCCGAGACACTTACAACTATCTCGGAAGTTTAGAAGAAAAGAATGATAGTTTTCTTGAGATTTGTGCATTGCCACGTGGCTCCATAACTATCAAAGATCGTGTTTGAACGTGGGGAAGACTTTACAAGTGGAAATCACGCCAACAACTACCCAAATAATAGCATTAGAACGTGTTTAAAGCAATTACAAAACAGTTGGAATGAAGCAGGCTTCTGAGACAGTTATGACTGTCTCAGAAATGGAAAATCAACCATGCTTCCGAGACAGTTACAACTGTCTTGGAAATGAAAGTTCCTCAATACAACTTATTTTCGACTTCTGACTTCAGTTATTATTCCTAAGGGCTATAAATACCCCCTAGGACCATCACTGATGAGGATCCAAGCAGAGAGAGCAGAGAACTTGAGCATTTTGAAGCGTTTTTCTCAAGAGAGAGAGAGAGTCTTCATCAAATTCGAGTACAAACAACAACTTTGGGATTCGTTAAGATCTAAGCTTCGACTTGATCTTAAGAAGATTGTTCATCTTACATCGATAAGATATTCACTTACCTTTTTCTTACTTCTAAACTAAGCAAGAATCCCCAAATAGCTTTCACGGTTCAATCAAAATCTGTGAATCGGTGGTCCACGGGCTAACGCACCCTTGGCACAGGCAAAGATCCCGCGCAAGCAGCGATCCAAAAAACAATTCTGCGTGTGTTTCTAAGGAGCTTGTAATTTGATTTTTGTTGTAAAGAGTAGTTTTACAAAGCACGAAGCTTACTCTTTTGTATTCATTGTAATCGATAAACAGTTATAATGGATTTATAACAGAACTTGTTCCTGACATAAACAATTAACCACAAATCCATAATCTAAGAATCGAAACTATCATAAGAGTATGACTAATATGTATTCCAATATTTCGGTTACGGATACAGATATTTCACAATAAAACTATATCCTATCAGTTATAGATTTGACTAACCATAGTTGTATCCTAACGGATACGGTTACGTTACGGATATTTTATGGGATACAGATATCGGTTTAGCACCCCCTGCATCGAAGTCATGGCTTATCGGGCGTGGATCGTACGCGCCCATAAAACCCAGTAACCCGCTATTATAAACAAAACCCTATCCGCTGAGCTCGCTCCTTCGTCCCTCAAGAAAAATGGCAGCAGCGCGCAGCGCTCCTGAGGAGCTCGACCCTCCTCTGCCCCTCCCTCTCCTTCACGAAATCGACGGCAAAACCCCAGCTCCACTCAAAACTCCGCTCTCTCCTCTTCGGATCGAGGTCAAGAACCCTCAGTTTGGCCTCTTGTTCTCCCCCCACGAAGCCCGATGCTGATTCTAATAACGGGGGTCCTGCTCCCGAGGTTTATTTGTACAACACGATGTCGAGATCGAAGGAGCTGTTCAGGCCTAGGGTTGAAGGGAGAGTGGGGATGTACGTCTGCGGGGTCACTGCTTATGATCTGAGCCATATCGGGCATGCTAGGGTTTATGTCACCTTCGACGTTCTTTATAGGTAAATTTCACTTCTTTATGATTTCATTTTGGTTGGTCCTTGTCTTTTATGCCCTGTTTGGATGGAGGGTAGAGAGGGGGAGGGGAAGAGAAATGAGGCTTTCACCTTGTTTGGGAGTTTTTTTTAAGGAGGGTAGAGAAGAGGAAGGAAGGGGAAAGGAGGGTAAAATTGCTTGGTTTTCTTTCCCCCCGATTTGGGCGGTAGAGGAGGGTAAAGGAGGGTAAAGGGGTGTAATGACATTCTTACCCCTATCAAAACAAATAAAAGGGCTGATGTGTTATTAGTATAAAGTCATTTATGTAAATTTACATATATTTACTTCATTTCACCTTCATTCACCTTACTCAACTCCCAAACAACATATTACAATTCTCTTCCCTTCCCTTCCCTTCCCTTCCCGTTGTTTAACTTTCCTTCCCTTCCCTTAGTAAACTCCCAAACACACCATTAGGGCTTTTTGTAGTTGATGCTCAGTTCGACTTTGTTGATTGTTTGGTGAGGGTTCTGACGATCTTTATTAGTAATCCTCTCTTTTTCTTGTGATTAGTTTTGTGTATAAAGATGAGTCGTGTCGCTGAAGTTTGTAATTTTTTTAAGAAGATGCAAGGTTTATGAAGAAAAGTTAAGTTTTTTTTTTTTTGGTGTGTGTGGGATTATTCCGAAACTTACATTAACTGTTATCTTCAAAAGCTTGCATGCTTCCATGCTGATGACATGAACCCAGCAACCGTAAGGTGTTCGGGCTAAATAGAAACAATAGAAATAAAGTCCTTTTCGATGGAATAGGAAGACGTCATAGAAGCCTTTTATATAGGAAATAACCGAGCTCAAAGTGTCCGGATTAAATGGCTTTAATGTTGTTGTAAGTTACTTTAAATAGTCTTGTTTCTTGACGTTACATTGTCTTGGGTCTCACATGGTGGAGGAACTTGAAGGTTTTGGTTATTCAGCTGCTCGTAGCACCTGTTAGAGAATGAAAGCATAGCTGTAGCAAGCTACCAGAAATGGACCTAAATGTTGGCGAAAACCATAGCAACTTAAAATGCAAGCAGTTTACGGTATTCTGCTCTGTCGCCTTTTAAATAAATAAAAGATGTCTAGGGAAACATCGCTTGCTGAAACCATGAGTTTTCGTGCTTACTTTTGGGCTACAGTATACACAGGATTCTCAAGGTTTGCTCTGCACATCTTCCAGCCAACACCGTATTTATTGTTTATGGTTGACTATGTTTGTTTGCTTTGTTAACAGCCATCATGTTGCTACTGGTTGTGCTTCTACCATTTTGGAAAGCTAACTATAACGTTTATTTATTGTAGAATTATTAGAATGCGTACAAATAAGATGAATATCTTTGGCTGCACTACTCTTTGGATTATTCTTTTCACTCTATAAATGAATATCTTTGGCTGCGCTACTCCTTTGACTATTCTTTTCGCTCTATCTTTTGATTCTTTAGTAGGTATCTGCAGCATTTGAAATATGAAGTGCTTTATGTTCGGAACTTCACTGATGTTGATGACAAGGTAAGGATGTCGGTTTCTACCTCTTATTCTTGCAATTTGATTAGCACATACACTAAATTCAACAACTGTTTTAAATCTATACCTGTGAAGGACTTTAGGAATGATATATATGTGTGTGTGTGTGACCCGTCGAGAATTTAACTTTACCTGCAATTCAGGATATTTTAATCATTGATATATCTATCTATTTCTGACCTGAAAAAGTTTTATGCCAATAGCCGGCCAGACCTCCTAATGTACTTCTTTCTGATTAAGATGGTCACTTTTATTCTTTTCGGGGCAATTATAATGTTCATAGTTCGCTGCGAAATATCTGCTTTGTGATGTCTCAGACACTTGGATACATGAGCAAGGTTTTAAATATCGGTTATCGGAGATTTATCGGATGGTCAAAATCCTTATCGGATAGCGGAAATCGAGGATATATCGGGGATAAGTAGTATTTATCGGAGCGATACACTGGATGGTGTATATGTATTATATTTATTTCATCGTGTCATAAAATTTTATGCCTAACATCAATCAGTTTTATTTTTGTTGCATACTTGAGTTCAAAATGACATCAAGATTCCAAGGAATGAAAGAACTGAGGAAGACTACTTAAAATAGCAATTGTAAACTATATAAGGACCAAGTTGTAAAACTAATCAATATTAGTCGTAGTGAACAGTGATTCGATGAAACTCAGAGATTATTGACTGAGTTATAAACTTATAATTAGCTAAATTAGTTGCAGTAAAAAACTAGTTGCAGTTAAAACTAATTGCTCAAGTAAAAACTAATAGTTTAAAATTAATTGTAAATTTGTAATTAAAATTAAATTTGCTTATACAGTCTCACAAGTATTTTCGTAAAATTAATTACAAGTTTGCTATAAACTAATTGTAATGAAAAGTAACTGTAATTAAAATTAAATTTGCTTATATAGTCTCACAAGTATTTTCTTAAAATTAATTACAAGTTTGCCATAAACTAAATGCAATGAAAATTAACTGTAATTAAAATTAAATTTGCTTATACATTACAGTCTCACGAGTATTTTCTTAAAATTAATTACAACTTTACAAGTTTGCTATAAATTAATTACAAGACTTGTAACTAATTTATTATACAAGTAGAAGAACTTAACTACAAACAAAAATAGTAATAATCAGAGAGAAAGTGTAAGAAAACGAAGCAGTAATAATTGACAAACAAATACTGGAAGGAGTTATTTCAGCTTACAACACCCGATGACCGTAGCAAGCTACCAAAAGAAAATTAGCATTAAAAAAGATGAGCAAAATAAAGGATTATGAACTTAAAAGAAAAAAGAGGAGAACAGTAATCAGAATAGAGGAGGTCGGGGAGGCGAGCTTAAAAGAAAAAGAAAGAAGAGAAAAAGAAAGAAAACAAAGGCGAGAAGACTCAGAAGAGAAGAAATGAAGAAGAGATACCGCGCTGGAGATTCACGAAGTCGAGACGAAGTCGAGGCGACGAAGAGGCGACGAAATCGAGGCGACGAAGAGCCGAAGATGTCGATACGACGAAGAGCCGAGGCGACGTAGTCGAGGCGACGAAGAGGCTTGAAGGTTAGGATCCACGAAGGTCCGAGGCGACGAAGTCGAGGCGGCGAAGATTCTTCGTCGCTGGAGAACAGCCACCAGAGTGATTTAGGGCTTGAAGATCATGATCCACGAAGGTTAGGGTTTTCATTTTACTGTGAAAACGGGTCGGGTTTTATATTTCAACATCGTAACTCAAATCACAGCCGATAACCGATAAAAAAACATCTGTTATCGAGCGATATTATCCGTTATTGGCGATTTATCACCGATAATTTGTCAAAAACGCTAACCGACTACAAATTCACGTTATCCTATCGGAAACCATAGAAATCCGATATATCGCCGATATTATCCGATTTATCGCCGATATTTAAAACACTGTACATGAGGATATTTCTCGCATTCAGTAACACGTTAAGTGATTAATCTATGAGAAAATTGCTATTGCATTGCAAGCTTGGTGCTTTTATGCGGCACTAAACTATATTGTATTAGATGCTAAGATTACCTTATTAAACTCTTACTCGATTTATGTGGTTGATCACTACCTGGATATGTACATGTTTGCGTACACATCATAAATTATAGTTGTGTATCTGTATCAGAGCTTTAAATGGTCCCCTTGTCGAACACTTTGGACACTTGAACACTCGGCATCCTTGTCCTGTCATGTAACACTGGATAAAACTCTTACCCTCTAGCTTAATTAAGTGTACCTGGCCTTAGTGGGCATCAAAAGTGCAGCTGTTAAGGTAGCCTACATGATCATATCTCCAAATTTCCAGGATTTTCTTTTAATAGAGAATAGGGGTGATTCATGAGAACAAGAATGTGCCTAAAATTACTTCTTGTTTTCAATATTAACTATAGCATAATCTTTTCTGAGAAGGAAAAGTGATCTCTAGATGATGTAATTGAAATATGATCAAACATGGTGCATGTAATTACCATATTAGAAGGTAAGACACAAGCTTACTTAATTACTTCAAGCTAGAAAAGGCCTTCGATCTAGGTAGGACATCATAACTGTAATATAATCGAGCAATTTTATGATAAACAATCTCCGAGAGTTTGAAATTAGCTAATTGGTTACATAACATCATATTTCTAATTTGATACTTGAAACAGTGAATCTCAAAAATTCTGTTAAAGATACCACCAGCTTTCATATTGTTTACTATTTATAATTATTATGGAGTTTGCAATTAGCCTATGGTGACTTGGAAAAGTCTACAAAATGGAATGGAAAGATAGATAACAACCCTCCTTCCTCCACCTCCTACTTATTGGTTAAAACACTGTTACACTTTATTACATCCTTTGCAAGTTAAAATTTATGTTGAAGTTAAGTGGAAGACGCATCTGCTTTTTTATGTTCTAATGAAATCCGTTAACAAATTCTACATGATAACATTATACAAACGATATGAATTGTATACTTCCACAATGTTTAAAAACAACAAACAGAATAGCTAGATGTGTCCCTATATTCAACATAGGTTTAGTGCATATCCTCCACAATATAAGATAAGTTTGAGTTGAAACTTTGGGTATTTATTCAGTTAAAGTTTGTTTTCTTTGTATGATTCTATAACAAGATTACTTTTAGTTAACTTTTCATTGTTGGCGCAAGGTCAGTAATGTATTATCGCCATATCTTTTGTCTGATTTGTTTCAAAGTCTGTATACCAACTGCCTTCTCATATATGTATGACAGGGCACCTGAGTTCTGCACTTTTGGAATTATGTAGATAATTGCTAGAGCAAATGAATTGGGGGAAGATCCTTTAAGCTTAAGCAGCCGCTTTTGTGATGAATTTCATGCTGACATGGCTTATCTTCATTGCCTGCCTCCTTCCGTAGAACCTCGGGTCTCTAATCATATGGACCAGATTATAGACATGATTAAACAGGTATGAATCATTTATCTGTTTCTGAAGTTCTGCTCATTCTCTTCGTTTGAAACTTGCTAGTTGATATTTGGACGAGTTTTGAGACTTAACGCAGCATCAAATGGTATGAACTTCATGTTATATACCCACTTTATGGATTTAAAGAGTTTATGCCTCCTTTACATAGAATCAAATGGGTATTATACTGAGATTATTCCTATTAGTACCTGGTTAGATTTTTGGTTATTAGAATACTTATTGCTCTAAGGGGAGAAAGCTGCTCACAAGAAATACCAGATTTCAGCGGTCATTGGTAACAGCCTCTTTTGGGTATGAGAGGGTCTGTAAAAGAACAAGAGAAAGTGATTTTTCGGTGTTGGGCAGGTATTGAAACGCATAATGGTGTGTATATGTCCTCCTTGTTGTCTACTTATTGACCACTGCCTAATTGTTAAAGCATAAGCTTATTGAAGATTTAAACAGTCAAATGTTTGTAGTTGTTATAAAAAGTGTATATACATAAAAATAACTTAATGTGGCTGCTCACCCTCATAAATATTCTCAAACCTTGTCTGTAGATACTTACTGGAAAAGATATAAGTTAAGCAGGAGTTGTTCATAACTTGATACTACTTGGGAATAAATCCTCAAGTGTTTTATGTTTTTACAGCATCTACTTCCTCGCGAAAATATAAATTACATATTTTTAATCTGGTGATTAGAAGTCATCAAGCGGGTGCAAGGTTAGAACGAGGAAAATGCTCTATGCTCTTTTAAGCTCTGGATACCTGGTACTCTTTCTGGATAAAACATATCATCACTTTTTGTCATGACTACCTTCGTACTTGAATACTGATGATTATTTAGCTTTTTTTGGATGATAGGATGAAAATCTCTTCCAGTGAAGCTATGAAATTTCTGAAGGATTCCTCTATATCTATCAGGTTAAAAAATTATAGGCATGTTTAATCAGTTTGATACACACTTCCTTTTCGTTAGATTAAAACCTTTGAAAGTCTTGGAAAACATTTAAGAATCTTCTTGTGACTGCTCTGATAGAGGATTGGTGCTCCAAAAGTTAGAGAAGGCCTAGAGTTCCAAGTTTTTAATGTTAGTTAGTGCTCATCTGGGTCTGTTATTGTTCATTTAGATGGTATGATGTATCAAATATTGGTATGCATGCATGTATGTGTGTGCACGCGTACATGATGCATGTATGTATGTACATGCACGCACGCACACACGCACGCACGTACACTTAAGTGGGTTGAGGACTGTGTCCATCAAAGTTTTTATCCATTGATTTTGCTTTGAGATTCATGGTTGTGTGTGAAAAACATCAAGGCAAACATTTCAAAGGTAACATGCTTATGCGTATCACACACCAAGTCCAACACAAATCTCAAAGAAAATCCAATTGTGATAGCTGTATACTTTTCTGCTGATGCCTCTACCTATTCTGGGGCTACAGGTAACTGCCAGCTTATTCATATCATATGCTTCTGAAATAGTGATTCATAAACTGTGAATCATTGCAATTACTAGAAGATATTTATTTTGGCGATGTTTGGTTTTATTCTTTATAATGTAGAGTGTAGACATAAGAAGCTGAGCTACAATGGATAGGGTATCTCACTTTGTAAACCACAACCAGTGTTAATACTTCTATTGTGTCATACATCCAGTCTATTAATTTGAAACTTTATAATCCGTGATGTAGCGTCAGCATAAACATAGAGTTCACTCGTGTTGACAATTTATTTGCTGTTAAACAGATATTTGACAATGGCTGTGCATACAAGATAGATGGGGATGTCTACTTTTCTGTTGATAAATTTTCTGCTTATGGTCGATTATCTGGTCGCAAACTAGAGGATAATAGAGCAGGAGAGAGGGTTGCCTTGGACTCTAGAAAGAAAAATCCTGCTGATTTTGCTCTGTGGAAGGTAATAGAATAAAGAGAATAAAAGATGTGCCAAAAAACAAAAAACAAAACAAAAAAACTTTCCCTTTTGCTGGATTTTGTGATGATAATTTATCTGGTGGGTGGATCATCTATTTCACTATTTATTTTCATTTATTTATGTGGCATCTGGTTTTTAGAGCCTAGGATCGTGAGCACTATACTTCACAAAAAAAGATTTGATTTGATGACCTGTATCCAGTTAGCTAGATAAAAGTCACATGAAAGTACTAGATAAAAATCAAATAATTTATTGTAGTCCTGCCTCCTTGGCATGCTCTTGTCTGTAGTTGTTTTCAAATTTTACTATACTATTTTAGGTTCTTTGAACCTACTACAAAATAGAAACTGAGACTGTTATTCATTATACTTGTGACAATATTGATTTTCCACAATTTCCCTGATGATTTTTGTAACCACCTTGAAAGAATTTTTTGATTTGCGGTTTATGAATCAATGAATGAAACCTTGTTAAAATGCAAGTTTTATTTTTATAATGTGCATGTAAATATTTAAATGTAATGTGCATGTAAATTATTGCGAATATAGTAATCAAGTTTCATAGCTTAACCAGAATCTATAAGTTTGTTCTTCCAAACACAATAGCTCTCTCTTATGTGACTTTTATCTGGCTACCTTGTTATAGGCCATCAATTGCAGTCTCTTTTTACTTTTCTTACATCCAACTGTCAGCACAGCAGAAGTATAATGTGCATGTAAGTTATCTTCTGTATAGAAATTAAGTTTCACTGCTTGACCAGACTATAATTTTGTCTGTGCTTCCAAGCATGGTGGCTCTCTCTTTCTCACGTGACTTTTATTTGGCAAGCTGGTTATTGATCATTTGATCATCAGTTGCAGCCTCTTTTTACATTTCTTTTATCTAACTTTGGAAGGAAAAAAAAGGTCATCCTAGAGACAACAAGCTAATTGCTGCTGTTTTCCTAGTTGAACTGACTGGATGATTTGATGTTTATAACACAGTCTGCTAAGCCAGGGGAGCCGTATTGGGAGAGCCCGTGGGGCCCAGGAAGGCCAGGATGGCACATAGAGTGCAGTGCAATGAGTGCAGCTTATCTGGGCTACTCTTTTGACATACATGGTGGAGGGATGGACCTTGTATTCCCACACCATGAGAATGAAATTGCTCAGAGTTGTGCTGCTTGTAGATCAAGCAGCATAAGTTATTGGATCCACAATGGTTTTGTTAATGTTGACTCAGAGAAAATGTCAAAATCACTGGGGAACTTCTTTACAATACGCCAGGTAAATCTCAAAAGGCAGAAATTTTATAATTTTAGCTGCAAAAGAGTTGTCTATGTTTAAAGATTTTAAATAAATAGTTTTGTTCTGGAAAACCAGTTTATCATTACAGTTGCAACATCACTTTCTACAAAGGTGGTACTTGTAGTCCTGTCCCTGGCTTGCTCTCTTTCTAGTATTCACATTTTATTATAACTTCGGGTTTTTTGAAGCTACTGAGAAATAGAAACTGGTCTTACCACTATATTTTTTTTCTTCCTTTTTCTTGTTTTTTGTTTTTTTTTGGTGGGGGGGGGGGGGG